TAACTTCAGTAAATGGACGGCACGATGACAATCAACAGCCCTGTGGAAAGTTGCACTCGCTGATCTAATTAGAATGCATTAGCGAGAACCCTGGGGGTCGAAATTGCCGGAGCCCTCCACTATGGCGTCTCTCCTAATCATATGGTGGTTTTGTGACGTTCGAGCCCACAAATCAATCATCGATCTATATATTAGCAGCCGAGAAAGGCCATATTATTTCGTACGTCCTTTAAGTCATACAATCAAGCAGTTACACTCGAACTAACATGACCGGACAAATCACCCTTTGAGAATGCATAACGTACGCACACATGGAAACACGACATGGCTAGCAGACGACGCACGGAGCAATTTAAACTTCTTGTTGTTGTTGTTGTTTTCCTTTGCTCATCACTCGTACCCAATGGAGGATATTGGCCGATTATAAGGTGAATTCGCCCAATGCTTTCCGCATCGCTTCATTCCTGGAAACGCTAGTTATTTAGTTATGATTTCAAATGCCAATTGCGAATTTGAAAAATATGTAGTGAACCCCCTATTTAGCAATGAAATCGTTTAGTCGCAGTGATGTATTCCTAAATGGCGAATAAAACATCCCCTTGGCTGTACCCGAATGTAGAGGCTCCAAAAGAAAAAAAAAGAGCAGGTTCTGATAATTTCAAGCCCAGTTCTTGAAGAGGTGGTCCTAGTGCACTTTTTCTGAATAAATGAAAACAGCGATAACTGCGCGCTTCAGACAGTTGCCGCCAGGCGGTGACTCCACTCGATCTCACGGTCAATAGTAGAGCACGGCGAACGGGTAGGAAAGAAAAGTGACAATAAGGATGAGAGGAGAAGGCAAGGACGGGTACAGATGAAAAAAAATAGAGAGTTAGAGTGCGAAAACAAGTAGAAGCGCAAATATTTCAAATAATAAAAAGCTATGAAGACAAAGATAGAAGTCGAAAGTCTGACGGTCAGAAAAAAGAAAAAAGCTGAGGAAAAGTGAGGAAGAAAGAAAGAACAAATAGAAGAAATAGCTCAAAAGTTGAAGACGAGTGTCTGAGAAGCAAAAAGAGAGCAAAATAAATGATTGAAAGGAGAGCCAAAAAAGCGAAAACAGAGAAGGATTGAAGAGTGAAAAAATACAGAGACAAAGGAAAAAAATGCAGGGAGAAAGGTTTTTTCTTCACAGTTTGATCTCTGAACTAAACATTTAGATTGTTTTTAGTTTTATTCAAGTATTCTGCCACCCGCTTGTTGGCCCATCTCTCTTTGTCGGTGAGCTTCATCCATCTCACATCAACATCAGCATCATCAAACCACACATGCACACAAACACACAAAAGAGAGCCAAAGAAAAAAGAGAAAGCATAATCACAGTTCGTAGAGTAATGTAAGTATAGTTTGCCGTGTGGCGCACAAAATCTGTAACATTCATGAATCCACACATCGTCTCTCGATCGTCTAGTTCAACTTAATCTTGTCCGAACGGAACGTTTCCTCCGCCTTGTACACAGGGGAATGAAATAACAACGGTGGGTAAATTATGTGGTGTCAAACTGAATAAACAGACATATTGAATTTACTGCTCCAATCTACGACAAGTTCACCACCTCTGCTGTTAACCAGTGTTGCGCCACTCTGACTAAGACGAGCAATTTTTTTTGCGGCAGAAGAAGAGCACGTGCTGTGATGGATGCACTAAAACGTGAAGAAGAAATCACGATAAAGACACGCGTTACACGAGGAAGCAGACGCAGAAGAAGAAGACTGCGTCTGTGCCAGCACCTGTGTTCCATTCCCGCATCGTCACAAGGAGCGTTCTAGTCCAGAAGAGGCTCAACCATTGCTTAAAAAGGTGATTATCTTTTGCCTTCATTGACACTCAAGTCCTGGGCATTAGGGGCTGAACAATGGTCATTTTTTTGCCGGATCAGAGACACCATATTATCCTCCCTGCAAGTCTCTCGAAGCAGTCACTTTTTATGCTATGTTCATACCATAAGGCAGTCTAAACAGGCGAGGAAATATGATCTGTAACGTTTACAATTTCACAAGTAATGAAATATCACTCGAAATCTCATTTAACTTTGATCCCCCTTATGAACCGTGCTACAGGACAGCACTTCCCGGTCAGTATTTTTAAACGCACGACTATCGCTGACACATGCTGTACTCTCCGCTTGGTAGTGGTACCATGGACAAGTAAACTCAACCGAGTAAACCCAACCGAGGTAACGGTCAGGCTTTGCGTGCTTACGTTGTCCGCTTTCACGATTCAAAACTGGGTACAAATGGTAATAAGCTCACACATTTGAACTTTTCCCAGGAAATGCACTGTTCGCCACAACAGCAAATGCCGTTATTGAAATCTTACTCTACACAGCAAATTCGCGTGGCTTTAGATAGGCTGCTGGTAGTAGTCTTTCACAATATATCCACGTGGCATTTGGGAACCACTACCGGTAAACACAAGTTTCTCGCTTGCTCATAACTAGATTAGGAAAAATAAGCGCGCACCTACGATGTTCAGCGAACAAAGGATGGTCTTGTTGAGTCCTACAATTTTGTTGTTCACTTGTGCTACGGGACGTAACGCTTCTACATTACGTAAATGAAAGCCGATGCACCCCTCTTCGTCGTAATTCTACAATTGTGAATCGGACTTTTTACGGCGCTCCATCACACGCACCCTTCTTCTAGTTGAAATGTCGTTAAACATCGTACATACCCTTCTTCTAGTTGGAATGTCGTTAAACATTACGTCGAGAGGTTTTACTTCTGGAAAAGCCCTACCAAAACGCCAGAGGGCAGCACAGCAAATGAAGAAGGTGGATTGTGTGACTGATATTCGGCAATAATAACTGGCAGATACGGCCTTGCATGTAAATTATAATTTATTGATTCCCAAGAAGTGTGTGTGTGTGTGTCGTAGTGTATATGTATGTGTTAAGTGTGTGTGTGTGTTTTACTGTGTGCGCATGTGTGGGTAAGTGTGGCCCTGGGTGCGCGCGTGCGTGCGTGAGGGTAGAAGAAAACGAATGTCGCTCGTGAACTTTCTCTCCACCCTCCTTTCAATGATTTAGAATGTGGCACTTACTATTGTACTTATGTCTGAGATACAGTCTTTTGCTATAAAACTGCTCTCTCCATAAATTGACACGCTTACGCCAGTAAGTCTTTATTTGATCAAACTTGCCAGGATCACGAGAGGTAGGTAAAGGGGGGTAAGCTAATCTTGAGCAAATACGCTAAATTTAATCTATTTTCTTAGTACTAACGACATAAAAATACTGTTCACCATCACATTGGCAAATCACGTAGACGAAAGAGCAAATTTTTATCTCAATGAAGTGGAATGAGACAGCACCATTGTTATCGCGCGTTCCTTGAGGGAGGTTTTTATATCTCCCTCTCTTCCCGTATACACGGCGTTTGAGGATCACAATGAAATGCTCACTCGTGAAAAGAATCTACATCACAAACATCGCTTTTTCCAATCCTTACACCCTACGAAATATTTCGCTATCGAAGAACCACGCTCTTTTATTGTGGACGCAGTTCCTGACCACCGGGAATCGTGGACGAGTGAATGCATCCTACGCTATAGCTTCGTGAATTATCACGACTGTGTGTTTTCGAAAGTGTGCGTCTTAGAATACTGCATGAAGTTACACATTTAGTATAACAATCCAGTCCCAACTGCGGGGAGCAGATGATGACCTCTTGTTTGACAGCGCTCATAAGAAAGGAAAACCTCGTGGCACTTTTTGATAACATGAGTAGGGAAACAGCATGAACTGAAAGAAAATGACAGGCCACTCCTTCCAGGAAGAACACAAAATTGAGCATGTGCACTGAAACTTTTCACATGGTGTTACCACGACAGACCAACCAAAAGCGAGTTTTTATAGCCTTTCCCTTTCTATTCAGGTTGTTTTTGAGGTCATACATAATAATGTTTTTAGCAAGCCACCTAGCCCCCCACCATATTGCACCGTGAGGCCTCCTTGTTTCTATCACACGGTTGAAAACAGATACATTGCCTGAGACGCTCACTACTGCTGACATTGACACTTTAGCGAGAGTTCACTAAACTGGTGGCGGTACGTCGGCGTTTAGGCTTGACAGCGTTTGACCATCCTATAACTGAAAGGAAATGCAGCGCGAGCAACGCAAACTAAAAATAAGACACGAGATGGCAAACCAGATGGCATAGCTAGCGCTGGTATGTCATCTGGTGTGTTACTTTGCGCCTGCATTTCAAATCGTTTCTGATATACAACCGCAAGAACCAATAGACCTTTTTCATAATTCGCAAGTGCGCTTCCTCTGACTGCTTTTCTTTCCAATGAGTAATGGTGGTGCCTGTCGTGCTTCATGTGGGAACGTGGTCCTAGGTCCTACTCATGGGCATGCGTAGCGCTCGTAGTCAGGGAGGCGGAGGTCCATTGCTGCGCCCACCGCCCTCTCTATTAGGTCAATATTGGGGGCCGATTTTACGATCTCCCTCTTGTGTGGCTAGCAGGGTGCCCCGCTCCCGAGTCAATGTTAGGAGCAGATCTCGCGCCCCCTCTTAGGTGACTAGGGGGCGCCGCCGTCCCTTCTGCCCCCTTCGTGCGCACGCCTGAGTCCTAGTTGAACGTGCTCGGTCTTGTCTATTATGAGTGCTTAATTTGAGAGGCGACTCAACATTTTTCCCATTATTGCGTACGCGAGACCGCTTAAACAAGCTATTCGGACAGAATGACAAGCCACCAATATTCGCTCAAGCCACATAGCAGGAAAGCAAACTTTACAATTTTGAAAAGGGTCTATATTAGGCACAATTCGGAATGTCTTATATTTTTAGCATATCGCCTACACGCTCCTACCCGCAAGCAACTAAACCAAGTCTTACGCTATTTAGAAGCTAGTCCAATGATGTCTCCACAAAGCGGCAGATTGCGTAAAATGAAGGCAGCAGATTACAGTTTTTGCAACGCTTACGCACTGTAGCTTCGATGCGGCCATCCACCATGGTACCCTCGGAGGAAGGCCGTCAGGACCCTCGCAACGACGACGTAAGCTTGTCGTTGCCTGTTCGTGAGATTGGCCAGGCGTCGTTCATGCTTTCACCAACGCCGGATCCTTGTCCGTCCGAGGCGGGCGCACCCCTCTCGATTGACGCCTGCGTTGGCACTGCCCTTATCGGCCGTGCAAGTGTGCCACACACGGCTATTGGGAGCGCCACTCCTGGTGAACGAACGATGAACGCTCAGCTGACCTCGACGGCGCTCCAGGTGTTCGTGCCCTTTATCCTGGCTGGCTTCGGCTCCACCTTGGCTGGCATCCTGCTCGACGTAGTCAAGGTAAAAATGGCTGGAGTGTAACAGCGAACTACTGAGTCACTCAAAATAAAAGCTTCATAAACAATTTTGATAAACGTTGTGAAATATTAAAATGCATTGTTGTAACAAGGGACACACTCACAAATGAAGAAAGAAAATAACAGCCAGAAACAAGTAGGCGCAATCTCTCAACTGTGAATATTTCGTGTGGCAGCAGTTTGAGCCGCTCCATGAAAAAAAAGGAAGAAAACGAGAGTACGAATAAAAGTAGAATATGTGAGAAAACATGGCTGATCTCTCTGTCTGGGAATCAGTATATCAGGAAAGAGAAACGTGTCATAACAGAGGCAGTTGACAGTTTATTCTGTTTTGTTCGTGCACAAAGGAGAAGGAATATATGCTACAGAAACAAATTATAGTGTCACGCAAAGAACGGCAAGCAGTTCGAAACTTGCAGCGTGCAGCTCAAGGAGAAAGCACGCACGAAAGGAGCATACACAGGACGCGTGCAGAGTAACAACTGTCGCGGATGAAATTCTTACTTATTCGTGTGTGAGCAGCTTTGGATAAACTCAATTCGAGTAGCTAGCGAAGCAACCTTCGTGCTCTTCTTAACTACTGTAACTTAAAAGCAATCTTGCCGTGGAAAGTGCAAGAGGTACATAGCGCCGAATCACGAGATTAGCGGGCGTGCATGAACGACCGCGTTTTGTGAAGACGCGCGCGCATCTTCAGACACAGGGACAACGACCTTTACCGCGTGCCCAATGCACGTCTTGCGGGCCATTTTGTTACAGATGTGAACGCGCTGAACGACCTATCATGTATATGAAAAGCTGGACAACGTACACTCCATGGCCTAGTGGTTTTGGGCCACCCGCTGTGGCATGGGAGGTTGTATGTTCGAAACCCGGGGAGACGTTCGCCATCGGTTAGGATATATTTTGCGTGATATAAGTGACGGAAATAGGTCAGCGCAGTTGTGGTGCACCTTGGCAAAAACACATTTGAGGTAAAACCGATAAATCTAGAGATCCTATCGTGGGCGTGGGTAGGGTTGCCCATTTAGTGTGAGAGTGAATTTTCATCGCACTCGCCCCCCTCCCTCTTCGTTGGCAAAATCCAAACGACAACGTGCTTTACAATGGGTTAAGAATTTGGAAATTATGCGGAGACTTCCTTCACCCAAGGGCTAGCCTGAGTTGAAGACGGGAAGTAGACAGTTCCTGAAATGCAACGTTAGGTGTCTTCAGCAGCCAATAGTTAAAAATACCTGTGTATTCATAATTGAACAAACGTATGAGGCAGACTCTACAAACACCGTTTTAAGTGATTAATAGAATGCCGCGTCCCTATGTCTCTCCTGTACGCATTCCTATGATGCTATATATGCAACTATTGACTTGAGCCACTACATCATTTTTAGATTCGTCCACGAATTTGTTGCAGTTTCATCATAACATTCGAGCAGTACTCAACTTCCAGATGGCTGGCGGTGAAACGCGATGTGTTGCTTATATATCACACATTGCCAGCGCCATAGCATTTTCGACAGAAGAAACTTGCTAAAAAATAAGGCCTTATGACATGCTTGACGTGCCTTCACTGCAGGATTAGCGAAATGAAGCGTACCGAAGCTTTATTCTATAAAAACGAAAGCAACCTGTATTTACGACACTAGACACTCCATTGAGTTCATGTGCATGCACAGGTCGTGTGCGTGTCGCTTTTAACAATTCCTTCAAGTATTTCGGCAAAACAAAAGTAACGTGTGAGATATTTCCCATCACGGTCCTAATCACGTACCCTGAATTGCTTATTCGCATAATGTCAAGCTTCGAAACCTTCAAATAATGAATTATTCCCCATCGCGCCCTTTAAAACTGCACTGCACGACCTGCGGTAATAGGGCGGAATATAAACTGTTGTATTGCGTAGTTCCAGTATCCTTTATTCACAGTAAATGTATTACCTCGCATTTCAAAGTGAATGGTTCTAGTTGTAACTTATGAATTTAGTTAAGAAATCGCAGCGAAATTTTTGCCTCCTTCTTCAGCAGCCTGACTACGTCCACTGCAGGACAAAGGCCTCTCCCATGTTCCGCCAGTTAACCCGGTCCTGTGCTTGCTGCTGCCAATTTATACCCGCAAACTTCTTAATCTCATCTGCCCACCTAACCTTCTGTCTCCCCCTAACCCGTTCCCTTCTCTGGGAATCCACTCAGTTACCCTTAATGACCAGCGGTTATCCTGTCTACGCGCTACATGCCCTGCGCATGTCCATTTCTTCTTCTTAATTTCAGCAATGATATCCTTAACCCCCGTTTGTTTCCTAATCCACTCTGCTCTCTTCTTGTCTCCTAAGGTTACACCTACCATTTTTCTTTCCATTGCTCGCTGCGTCGTCCTCAATTTAAGCTGAACCCTCTTTGTAAGTCTCCAGGTTTCTGCTCCGTAGCTAAGTACTGGCAAGATACAGCTGTTATATACCTTCATCTTGAGGGATAGTGGCAATCTACCTGTCACAATTGAGAGTGCTTGCCGAATGTGCTCCACCCCATTCTTATTCTTCTGGTTACTTCAATCTTGTGGTTCAGCTCTGCGGTTATTACCTGCCCTAAGTAGACATAGTCTTTTACAACTTCAAGTGCACTATTACCTATCTCGAAGCGCTGCTCCTTGCCGAGGTTGTTGTACATTACTTTCGTTTTCTGCAGATTAATTTTAAGACCCACCTTTCTGCTCTCCTTGTCTAACTCCGTAATCATGAGTAGCAATTCGTCCCCCGAGTTACTCAGCAATGCAATGTCATCGGCGAAGCGCAGGTTACTAAGGTATTCCTCCATTGACTCTTATCCCTAACTGTTCCCATTCTAGGCTTCTGAAAACCTCCTGAAAGCACGCGGTAAATAGCATTGGGGAAATCGTGTCCCCCTGCCTTACACCCTTCTTGATTGGTATTCTGTTGCTTTCTTTATGAAGCACTATGGTAGCAGTTGATCCCCAGTAGATTTCTTCCAGAATCTTTATATATACTTCATCTACGCCCTGATTCCGCAGTGTTTGCATGACGGCTGATATTTCTACTGAATCAAACGCCTTCTCGTAATCTATGAAGGCTATGTATAGTGGTTGGTTATACTCTGAGCATTTCTCTATTACCTGATTGATAGTATGAATGTGGCCAATTGTTGAGTAGCCTGTTCGAAATCCTGCTTGTTCCTTTGGTTGATTGAATTCTAATGTTTTCTTTACTCTGTTAGCAATTACCTTTGTAAATAGCTCGTATACTACAGAGAGCAAGCTGATCGGCCTGTAATTCTTCAAGTCCTTGTCATCTCCTTTCTTATGTATTAAGATGATGTTAGCGTTCTTCCAAGACTCTGGTACTCTTCCCGTCAGGAGACACCTCGTAAACAGGGTGGCTAGTTTTTCTAACACAAGCTGTCCTCCATCTTTCGGCAGATCTGATGTTACCTGATCCTCACCAGCAGCTTTGCCCCTTTGCATGCTCTCCAAAGCTTTTCTGACTTCTTCTATCATTACTGGTGGGGTGTAATCTGGGTTACTGCTAGTTCTTATAATATTAAGGTCGTGGTTGTCTCGGCTACTGTACAGATCTCTGTAAAACTCCTCCGCTATTTTAACTATCCTATCCATATTGGTAGTTATTTTGCCTTCTTTGTCCCTTAGTGCATACATCCGACTTTTGCCTATCCCAAGTTTCCTCTTCAATGCTTTGACACTTCCTCCGTTTTTCAGAGCGTGTTCAATTCTCTCCATGTTATACCTTCTTACATCGCATACCTTACGTCTATTAATCCACTTCGAAAGCTCTGCCGGTCCTATTTTGTCTGTTGTACTTGACACTTTCATAATTTGACGCTTCTTAATTAGTTTCTTCGTTTCCTGGGAAAGCTTGCCAGTGTCCTGTCTAACTACCCTGCCTCCAACTTCCACTGCACACTCCGTAATGAGACTCGTAAGATTATCATTCATTGTATCTACGCTAAGGTTGGTTGCCTCACTAAGAGCCGAGTACCTGTTCTGCAGCGACACTCTGAATTCCTGTACTTTCCCTCTCAGTGCTAACTGATTAATTGGCTTCTTTCGTATCAGTTTTTGTCGTTGCTTCTTCAAGTCTAGGCGAATTCGAGACCGTACCATTCGATGGTCACTGCATCGTACCTTGCCAGTCACTTCCACATCCTGCACGATTTCAGGGTGTGCACTCATTATAAAGTCTATTTCGTTTTTATTTTCGCCATTAGGGCTCCTCCATGTCCACTTGCGGTTTTCTCGTTTTCGGTAGAAGGTATTCAAGCTCCGCAAATTATTGCGTTCTGCGAATTCTACTAGTAGCTCTCCTCTGGTGTTTGCAGTGCCGATGCCATAATCTCCTACTGCCTGGTCTCCAGCCTGATTCTTCCCTACCTTTGCATTAAAGTCACCCATCACTATAGTATACTGTGTTTTTACCTTACTTATTGCCGATTCCACGTCTTCATAGAAGCTTTCAACTGAAGCGTCATCATGGCTGGATGTAGGCGCGTAAAGCCTGTACTACCTTCATCTTGTATCTTTTATTCAGTTTAATTACGATACCTACCACGCTTTCATTATGCTGTAGTACTCCTCTATGTTGCCAGCTATGTTTCTGTGAATTAGGAACCCCACTCCCAGTTCTCTTCTGTCTGCCAAGCCCCTGTAGCAAAGGACGTGCCCACTCTGTAGCACCGTATAGGCCTCATCTGTCCTCCTAACCTCACTGAGCCCTATTATATCCCATTTAACACCCTCTAGCTCCTTGAATAGTACAGCTAGACTTCCCTCACTAGATAAGGTTCTAGCGTTAAACGTTGCCAAGTTCAGGTTCCAATGGCGGCCTGTCCGGATCCAGAGATTCTTAGCACCCTCTGCTGCGTTGCAGATCTGACCGCCACCGTGGTCAGTTGCTTCGCAGCTGCTGGGGACTGAGGGCCGTGAGTTATTTGACGTAAGCATGTGGGAGGTAGTAGCCAGATACTGCACCAGGGTGGCCAATCCTTCTCTGGTGAGGGAGTGCGTTCTCGGCGGTGTTTGCCGGTGAGGCCGCACCCCAGGCCTCATAATGCAGTTCCATCAACACGCGGATTTTTTTTTTTTTTTGATCCGGTTGGGTACTGCGCGGTACCGGGACTTGAACCACGGACCTCTTGCATGCGAGGCGGATGCTCTAACCACTACGCCATCGCTGCCTGTCTTCCTTTTGCCTCCTTAAGCACGACCAAACAGATTGTGGATATTGTTTCTGACGGCCACGTATTTAATATGTACAAAGGGGCTGACCAAAAGCAACCACCTTCTAAAAATAGGCGGACTTATTGGGTTGAGTAGCTATCCAATTTAAACCATCATTAGGTCTTCGTAAATGGAGTTCCATCAAATTGAACTGATAAAAAATATTCGCATTGTTTTAAAAGTTCTAATTAAAGTTTTGTTTTGATGTATGGTACAACTGAAATCTGTTTTTTTTTTCAATGTAAAAAGTGACCACATATGATATGCTTACGTTTCCTGGTCGAATGGCTAGTAAAACAGATTTTACCCTTACTAAAATAAAAATATATAGTTTTTGCTTATACACGCAATGCAGCATGAGGCGGTCGCTCAAGTTTTAGTACGACACGTGGATGTGGGTTTTACTGATCACAACCGAAAATTTCTAGAAATCTTCAAGCTGGACTAAATCATAGCAATATCGTTTGATTGCTCACAGGAAAGCTTAAGAGACACTTGTTGAGTTTAGCTCCTCTGTAATAAGATGCAAACAATTGACAGAAAAAATGTTCGGGCTTTTATCTGTGTTCGGGGCCACCGCATTCTGTTTTGCGACTACACCTTGTTTGAGTCTGCTCTATATGTTCTCAATTCAACAATGCAGGAGTGGCCGGTGTATGTGATAGTGCATCACATATTCGTGGTCATTCCACCCTTGCTGGGACTCAACGGCAACCTGGAGCAGACCCTGGTGGCGAGGCTTAGCACCCAGGTGCGTATTCAGTGTGCCACTCTTTGACCCACATAATACAGAACTAATTCAGACATTCTTAAAATGATCCCGATTACATCAAATGAACCACGTACAGTTATTGTCTAGTAATTTGTTTAACTGCACTAAATAAAGAACCTTCCGTGCATCAAAATACGCAATAAAGTACTGCTTTTTGTTTCTGATTGAATAATGGTAAAAAGAACCGGCAGACGTAACTATGGGGAATGGCACGAGTGGTTCAAAAATACAATTTGCGCGTAGTTGCACTGGACAGGTGGTACCATATAGCGGGGCACAGTTGAATTAAAAAACGTCTACAATCTTGGAGCCAAAAGAGGGAAGTTGCTCTATAGCCGTAATTTCTGCTGTGGTTCCCACTGCTTTCGATCTGCTGCTAGAAAGACGGGCAACGTTGTGCATTGTAACAGCGACGTGAGTTTGTCTGCACTTTCCACTTCTTGAGCGAGCAATTTGAAGTGTGCTAACCTGTTGCGGACCACTAAAACGTGATTTCATTTCAAAATAGGCCTTTCCTTGGCATAAAAGTAACACACGAGGTTTACGGAGCAATATTTATACAGTCAACGTCGACCTAATAGTTGCCTTTAGTATCTCTTTAGAGGTCATCGAAGTCATGACCCGCTAAGTTGAAGCGTTGTGCCAAAGCAAACTTCCAATCGCAAGGAAAGAAAATACGCAGTCATAACTTAGTTATGAGCTTTTTCAAGGGGGTTCTTGAATCCATGCAATATGACATAGTACATACCCAACAAAAACTGATGACAGTGGAGCCCTTATATAAATTTCTGACGTACAATTTACACGTGCGGCCTCCGTCATATTGAGAATGAATTAAGCATAATCATATTATATTTCATATTTTAGTGATGCATCTACCCCTCCAACTCGACGCCCTCGCATTTTTTTTTTCGTTTTGAGGGAATGCCTGTTTCCCTTTGAAGAACCCAATTCGGAATGGCGGCCTCCTTATTTCCACCATGCCCGCTTTCAAAGTTGCCCTCTACTACTTTTTGATTGTTTTGAAGGAGAGGGTATGAAACACGCATACAGAATCACTGAAGAAAGTAGTGCAGAATTGAAGACAAGATGTCGAAATGACGGCTCTAGCGCATACTGAATGCAAAAAGTTTCCTTAACCATGCATAATATTATATATTATTGCAAGAAGGTGGGAAGGGAAGTTAGGGCGAGGAGGAGTCCTGCAAGGATGACAGAAGAAATGAGGAGGAGAGAGTGTGAAACAATGACGTAGTCTTATAAGGTTCACTTAACAAGAGCTAGAGCTTGCGCCCAGGCATATGAGGAATAAATGTGTAGCTTTGCTGCAGAAAGCGTCATCCGGAAGCAAAAGTAAGTCGTCCTGGCAGCGCGCTCTTGCTACACGTCAGCTTGATAACGCTGCCCCAACCATCTTACAATGATCCGTGGATGAGCCACACTTTTTCATGTGATAACGTTAGAAAGCTTCTTTCGCAGATATGCTGGCGTCTGCATCGAGGCCGGCATCGTTCATCGGGAGCAAAAAAATTATGATCTTGTCCATGATTGACACAAGAGTCAATGAAATGAATTAACAATACACATGTCCGGGGACCGAGTAAAAATCGAATGCCAGCCATTTCCTTTTCAAGCAAGTATTCAGCCACACAGCCATGTCGATGCTTGAAATGCAGTTAAAATTACCTTCTCTACTTGGAAGTGCAGTTGAAACAACTTTCATGCTTTACAAACACAGAGCGTTGAATACAGGCTTCATATTGATACGCAACAGCCGGCACAGCCTGTCTGGAAGAAAGAGAGAGACGACGTTGGTGCTGGTTGTTCATCAACTGTCGTCATCTTGTTCGCCGAGCACAGTTCATCGTATTTAATTATTATATAAGTTACCCGTAACATTATTGGTGGAGGTGGACGACTCCCGTACCTCGATGGAGACGCGCAGCGGTCGCAACACCGGGGACTCTTCGGCTACTTCAACTGCCAGTGCCTCATCCCCACTGGTCTCTCGATCCGAGTCGACAACCTACGTCACCCTGCCACCCCTGCGGGATCCTGGAACTTTCTCCGCTGACGGCACCATCGGCGTCGACTCCTGGCTGCACCGGTACGAGCGAGTCAGCGCTACCCACCGCTGGGATCCCACGCTCATGCTCGCCAATGTTGTGTTCTACCTCGACGGCACGCCGCGGACATGATTCGAAACCAATGAAGCTGAAATCAAAAGCTGGAATCTTTTCAAATCAAAGATCCGTGATCTTTTCGGCGATTCATCTGGTCGTCAGCTCGCTGCCAAGAAGACTCTCGCACTCGCGCCTAGACGTCTACTGAATCGTACGTCTCATACATTCTTGACGTCTTGGCGCTTTTTAGCAAGGTCGATCAGCGCATGTCAGAAGAAGAAAAGTTAACCATGTCCTCAAAGGGATCGCTGACGATGCCTTCAACCTGCTGGTTTTTAATAATGTCACGAGCATCGACATGATCCTGAGAGAATGCCGCCGTCTAGAACAGGCTAAAGCCTGCCGCGTCACCCACGGCATCACGCGCCTGCCGCACACAGCTGCTACTTCCTCTTGTGATGACTCCGTCCGCCCAGTTCCCCGATGTGACAACCTCACCCGCATCATTCGTCGTGAGGTGGAAGCAGCCCAACCAGTTGCTACTCCATTTCCAACGCCTGATCCTTCACCGACCACTATCTCACTGATACAAGCCGTCGTTCATCAAGAATTATCGAACGTCGGCCTACACCCCATTCAACCAGTCTACTCTGCCGAGCCTTTTTATCGTCGTCCATCCGCTCCTCGATTTGGTTCCAACTACTCTCGACAGCGCAATTTGTCCGAATGGCGTACACTGGACGACAAGCCCATATGCTTCAACTGCCGACGTGTCGGTCATATTGCTCGTCACTGCCGTAATAACTGGGCTCCGCCGGCACGCTATGGGCCTCCTACCCAAGCCACTTCTGACCACCAGTTGTCCTCAACATTTGATTTTGGTTCCCCTATGCCGACCACATCCTCTGATTCTTCCGCACCTCTGACGAGTCCTCGCTACGCCCGCTCACCATTCCCTGCTCGCCGTCAATCTCGTTCGCCCCCACAACGCCGTCCTGCCTCTCCGGCCTATTCGCAGCGCCCCCGACCGGAAAACTAGGCAGTGCAGCTTCTGGAGGTGAAGCTGCATTGAAGACGACCTCTGCAAGAATTCTTCGTGTAACCTTACCGACCACACGGAATCTGTTGAACGTTACTTTAGACAATGTACCTGTGCGCGCGTTGATCGATACCGGCGCGCATGTGTCCATAATGAGTGCTGCTCTTCGTCGCCGCCTAAAGAAAGTTGGCACACCGCCTTGAACCGAGCCGTTAGAGTCGCCGACGGGGGAACTGTCGCGATTATTGGCATGTGCTCTGCCCGTGTGACTATCGCCGATAGAAGCACTGCTGTTCTTTTCACCATTATAGAAAATTGTCCCCATGAAGTAATTCTAGGCATGGATTTTCTAACCGCTCTCTCGGCCCTTATAGATTGTTCAGCCGGCTGTCTTGACCTTGAAATGCCTCTACTTTCTGATCTGACCAACCCACCCCAAAGTCGCCTTTGCTGCATTGATTTCGCACGCCTTCCGCCTAACTGTGTCACACATATCGACCTCTTCTCTACACCACCTATACCTGACGGCGATTACATGGTGGCACCAATTCATGCCGTGATGCTTACGCAAGGCGTCGCTGTTCCGCAACACCATTTTGACAATTTTTGAAAACCGGACATGCCTTCCTATTGTCAATTTTGCCCTCACTGCCCAAGTTCTTCCACAAGGTATCTCCCTGGCCGAAATTACTGCTCTACAAGACCATACGGTTGAACCCTTCAGTGTGGATGATTGCTGCACCTCAGACAGTGAACCAACTCTATCACGTTCATCGGGCGTCGACGTTGACCACACGGTACCATCAGATCTCGCTCCTGATCAAGCGGAAGCCCTTCGTCACGTCCTGGAGTCCTATAGTGACATTTTCGACTTCACCAGCACGGCTTTAAGCCGAACGAGTGTTGTTAGTCATCGCATCAATACTGGTGACGCGAGTCTCATTTACCGACGTCCATACCGTGTTTCCGCGTCCGAGCGCACAGTTATACAACAGGAAGTCGAAAAGATGCTTTCAAAAGACATAATCGAACCCTCTTGTAGTCCCTGGGCTTCTCCTGTCGTCCTGATCAGAAAGAAGGATGGAACATGGCGCTTTTGTGTAGATTATAGGCATCTGAACAAAACTACGAAGAAAGATATTTATCCGTTGCCTAGAATCGACGATGCCTTAGACTGCTTTTACGGTGGTACGTATTTTTCCACTATCGACCTTTGATCTGGCTATTGGCAGATTGCTGTGGATAAGATGGACCGTGAGAAGACCGCCATTGTCACTCCTGACGGGCTTTATCACTTCAAAGTTATGCCCTTTGGTCTCTGTAATGCGCCGGCCACATTCGAAAGAATGATGGACTCGTTGCTCCAAGGGTTTAAATGGTCAACCTGCTTATGTTATTTAGACGACGTTATCGTTTTCTCGCCCACATTCGACTCCCATCTCAAGCGTTTATCGGCGATTCTTGAAGTATTTCGTCAAGCCGGACTTCAACTGAACTCATCGAAATGCCACTTTGCTCGTCGTCAAATAACCGTACTTGGCCACATCGTCGATGCCACAGGAGTCCGCCCGGATCCCGAGAAAATTCGCACCGTCACGGACTTTCCTGTTCCGAAGTCAACAAAGGACGTTCGTAGTTTTGTGGGCTTGTGCTCCTACTTTCGACGGTTTGTTAAGGACTTCGCCATCATTGCACGCCCACTCACAAACCTCCTGAAGAATGACACCCCGTTTTTCTGGGGCGCTGATCAAGCCTCATCTTTTTCTCAGCTCACGACTCTCCTTACAACACCGCCGATTTTAGCCCATTTCGATCCATCAGCTCCAACCGAGGTTCGCACTGACGCTAGTGGGCATGGCATCGGGGCAATATAATGCAACATCAACGCGGACATGACCGTGTTATAGCATATGCAAGCCGCCTGCTATCTACAGCCGAGCGCAACTATTCAATCACGGAACGTGAGTGTCTCGCTCTCGTGTGGGCAGTCGCCAAGTTTCGCCCATACTTATACGGGCGTCCATCACCGACCATCACGTCACCGACCATCACGCGCTCTGCTGGCTGGCCTCACTCAAGGATCCCACAGGACGCCTCGCTCGTTGGTCCCTACGATTGCAAGAATACACGTTCACCGTAACGTACAAAACAGGGCGGTCGCACCAAGATGCTGATTGCTTATCACGCTACCCTGTGGAAGATGCTGCCCATACTGACACCTTCCCAGACCTTCTGTCTGTGACGCAGCTAGTCAATCTTGGGCACGAACAACGCCTGGATGCTTCCCTGCGAACCATCATTGGCAAGCTTGAGTCAAGGCCTCGCGATGCATCTCTACAATGTTCCTGGTAAAAGGACGGCATCCTGTATCGCCGTAACCTCGATCCATATGGCCATGACTTGCTTCCCGTCATACCAGCACATCTTCGTGCGACTGTTCTCAACCAACTTCATGACGCTCCTTTGGCGGACCACTTGGGCGTCTCTCGCACATACGACCGTGTACGTCGTCGTTTCTTTTGGCCTGGTCTTGCCCGCTCTGTTCGACGCTACGTCGCCGCTTGTGAACCCTGCCAGCGCCGCAAAAAGCCATCTTCCCTACCAGCTGAATTCCTTCAGCCGATCGACATTCCCATTGAACCTTTTTTTTCGAGTTGGCCTCAACCTGCTTGGCCCATTCCCGATCTCCAGCTCAGGCAACAAATGGATCGCTGTCGCCACTGACTATGCGACACGGTACGCTATCACACGAGCACTTCCGACGAGTTGCGCAACCGATGTGGCGGACTTTCTGGTATATGATATTATTTTAGTACTCGGAGCTCTACGCCAACTTCTCACTGACCGGGGCCGCACCTTCCTATCAGCTGTCGTTGATGAAATCCTGCGCTCTTGCTCTGCCAAGCACAAGTTTGCCACTTCGTACCATCCGCAAACGAACGGTCTTACGGAGCACCTCAACCGCACCATAACCGACATGCTTTCTAAATACGTAGCGGCTGACCACCAGGACTGGGACGTTCATTTGCCATTTGTGATGTTCGAATATAATTCGTCACGTCACGACACTGCCGGCTATTCCGCATTCTATCTTCTATACGGCCGAGAACCCGCCCTACCATTTGACACCTTGCTGCCCTCGGTCACTAAGTATGCTGGCCATCGCGCGAGCCGACCACGCACGCCAAACTCGCCCGCAGCCGCCTGCAGACTTCACAGGAGCACCAAAGACAGCTCTACGATTCCCATCATCGAAACGTGCATTCTCACCGGGTTCTCTTGTCCTCCTCTGGTCCCCCACTCGGCGTGTAGGGCTTTTTGAAAAACTGCTGTCACGCTACACTGGACCATACCGCGTCGTTCGCCAGGTGACTGACGTTACATACGAGATCGTTCCAGCCGATTCAACGTCATCATCGTCACCTTCGAGTGTCATCGTGCACATAGCTCGACTCAAGCCCTATCACCTTCCTTCTACCGCATCCGAGTTGTTCAAGCACCGAGACGGTGCTTCTACCGCCGGGGGGTTATGATACGCAACAGCCGGCACAGCCTGTCTGGAAGAAAGAGAAAGACGACGTTGGTGGCTGGTTGTTGATAAACTGTCGCCATCTTGTTCGCCGAGTACAGTGCATCGCATTTAATTTATAAATAAGTTACCCGTAACATTATTATAAAGTGGCATAGCGCTGCAAAAATTGCGTGGTACAGGAGTACATTCCCACTGGGTGTAATAACACGCGACAATCATAGTGATGTCGTGGTTTGAAGCCGGCCACAGATGACAAAAATCACGGACATTAAGGCGTGTATCCCCTTGCTACCTTGTAGTGGGTGCATAGAAAGCTAAAAACAGATACTTAGTTCGCATAAATGTTTCTGATTGAAAGTGTGCTACCCTCTAAGGAGAGTACAGTTATATGCAAAAACTTCATTGACACAAGCTACTTTAGCTTTATCGCTTACTTTGAAGTAATCCACCATTTGAACTTTTCGGGTTACATGACGCATGAAACATTTTCACCGAGGTTTTTGAAATACGCACTCTAAGGACAGAACATTGCTCTCGCGTTACACTTTGAACCCATTATAATCGAACGTACTTTTCAAAGTACACTTCAATTTTCTGGAATAGAAAATATGGAATATAATGTTCTGAACTTGTTCACTAAAATTTAGGATGCCGAACGTCCCAGCAAGCAGATAATTCTAAATGGTATATTTACTCGGTTCTGCTCTTTTTTGTTTTATAAAAGTATAACGAATATTAGAACTAACAAAGTTTTCCTACCTTTAGGAAAACGAGAACCCGTCAAACACACGTAGTCACTGCTGTTTTACCGAAATTAATTTCAGATTTTTCCATTTATATATTTCAAAAACGGATTTCTTCTGCCTCAGCAAGAACAAAATACTCCTTCCAAAGCGCGAGATGCACATAGAGTGTATAGGTTTGCTTTCAGGTTTGATAAAATGTAGGTGTGCTTTGTATTCCACATTGGGACTTCGTGTGAGCACACATGATCTGTTGTGCATTGCCCCAGAGACTAAACTATAGCTTTTTAAGGGGTGCGGTATTGGGGGGAAGGTAGGCTTTTTTGCTTATATGAGGCTCACGAGACTGCACCAGTTGTCGTGCGTTGGTGGTGCCTCGGTGCCGCCTTCAGGGTCACCCACGGTAGTATTCTGTCGTAAACGCATTTGTGTGGCATTGAAGGTGGCGGTAAGTCAAGATCAAGACAAAGAGCGTGTATGAATACGGGCGTAGGACCGAAGATGTACTGAGATGGCTTAAAGAGCCCCGCGACACTTTTACTACAGCCTTATTTAGCACTGAAACGCATGTAGCCGTGATTACTGAAACCAATGCAACAAGAATGATGAAAATTGGTGCACAGAAAGTGAAATTATGAGTCCTCAATGTTCAATACTTTAGCAGACGACAACGAGAAACGTTCTCTTTCACAAGTTACTCGCCTGATGATGTCAAAGACCGTTTCCAATCACAGCGCACGTCTCATAAGGACATCCTAAAAATGTCATCTCTTGGTGGCTTTCACGCAATACCTCTTGATCGCTTTTTTTGAGGGCGTGATGGCATGCTTACTACAAACCACATGCGTCGAGTAGCAGATGCTACCATGGTCACACTATGTAAGATACACACATGCGCTTTGGGCAAGGTCAATACTCGGTTTGCATGCAAGGTGCGTTCTATTGGGCAACGCGGGCGTTCACCACCTGTTGCATTTTTCGCTCGCAAAAAACTCGGTACAAGTTTCCACTTTTAGTTGCCGGTGTACCATAGAATCGTTCGCATGCTAAGTCTTGTGTTCTTTGTTCTGAAAACACATCATTTCGAAAGAGGAATGATTTCTTTCTGAGAAAGTATAAAAAAGATTTTTGCTGTTTTAGCATTCACTCGTAGGCCTAGCTACCACCATATGAGTATGGCGTGCTATTTCTCGCATGAGGCTAATCAAAATAGTACGGTGTTTGTCGTCACGCCACATGCCATGACGTCACTTCCATAATAAAAATAGCCGCTGTGTGTCGCAGTAGCCTGAAAAAAGGTAGTTTATCCTGTGAAATAAATTACAACTGCGTCGATTTTGACGTGGTCGTGTGTGCAACGATATTGGTGGGGACCACAGCACCAGAAAAACTAATGATAAATACGTGTTCAAATAGTGTAACAGGCCCCCTTTGAGGCTATTTTACAGTAGAGTATACCCTATACTTAAAATAGTTCAACCTTGTTTCCGAATGCAATATACTACAAGGTATATTTTATTTATCACGCAGGCAAACTTGGGCAACCTGAACCGGGTTCGCGAACAACTACCCATGATATTTGCAAACATCGCCCTCTTGCAGGTAACGTACCTATTTTTGCTCATTTAATTACTCCTACAATCTTCGAAAGCTTTTGATAGTTAACTGAAAGGTGAATATATTTCACATGAATATTTAAGTGGTCATAATTGAGATTACTATATAGGATGAATAAATATATGAACAAACCAACCCAATAAATAGTTTTACCATTTCGTTCTGCAATGCAATGTTCATTGCTTTCACTGAAAACCACTACTTTTGCTAGATTTAGTTTCGTGTAAGTAGGTATTCCGTGTAGCATCTCTATCCATCATTCCATACTATGGTTATAAAATTCCTGCCTGTGCGATATCTTGAAAAAGGCCTGCAATGCATTAAACCATGCATTAAACATGCATTAAACAATGCATTAAACCATGCATTAAACAATGTACATCCCATGTCTCCTTGTACCCTCTGATTTGGGGTATTCCCGCATGCTTCCAAAGCAAGTCTACCAATGCCACCTTGATTATTTTCCAATATTGCTTGAACTTCTGGTTTCACGCGCAAGACCGCATTGCTGAACGTCAAACCCGAGACCATGACACCTTTCCAAGTTCCTCTCGCAACGTCATACCTATTGTAGTTCCATAGTGCCCTAGTTTTCATTAGAGCTCCATTCCTGGTGTTCTTATCTATTGCGTATCTTTCGTGCTCTCTTAGGTACCTAGCCCGTTATTTATCCATACGCCCAAGTATTCGTAATTATCCACTATTCTTGCGTGACTTCTTGTATCTTATGATCACTGCCTTTCTTATCAATAACAATGATTGCAAAATGTTCCCTGCAGAATTTCCAATTAACCTATCTTCCTCATATCAGAGATGTCTATCAATCTCTGCAGATATCCATTGTTGTCGGTTATTATTACTATATCATCTTTCGCATGTTACAATCACATTACTTTGCCTACTAGAATTACTCTTCACACAGCCACCCTTTTAGATGTTTGTGTTTACAAACATTGAACCGCGTAATATTGAATCTGGATTACTGAGTTCGGACATTAGCGACCATATTCCAATTTTTGTTTTATCAACAGAGTGCGCGAACGCAAGGTTACAGTTGATAGATATATGACGCGGCAAATAAATGATAAAAATTTAAACAAGTTTCAATGCCTCATTCGGAATAAAATGGCATAACATATACAGTATTGATGACGTAAACAGGGCGTACTCAGAATTTATTAAGAAGTTTTTAAATGCCTATAATGACGCTTTTCCTCTAATTAGAGAAGAGTAAATAGGAAGAAGTTCAGAAAGCCGTGGATAACCAAACATTTGCATGAAAAAATCTGCACTAAGAACAAAATGTACCACTCCTTTATTCAGAATCGGGATCCAACATTCTAAAGAGTATAAAAAGTATCGAAATCAACTGAGTAAAGAATTAAAGACAGCAAAAACAAATATTTTATCGAGCGTTTTACGAGAATCCAAAACGACAGTGGTAAAGTATGGAGAGAAGTAGCTAATCTACGAAAGGGAAAGATAATATGCGCTGAACGAGATAAGTACGCGGACGGAAATTTGTGTGGTTTTGAGTTAGCTTGTGCTTTTAATAAGTACTTGTCAATGTTGGTAAACCGCTCGGTGATACACCTGAACTGATAATTGTTAAACAATATTACTTCTTTATCGAAGTCTGTGTTTTTTTCACCCAGTTCCTCCAAGAAATAGTGATTTTAATCAACAAGTTAAAAAATGATGTATCTGCAGGTCATGACGATATAAAATCTGTCCCCCATTAAGCGCGTTGCGCCTTTGATATCTGACGTATTGTCTTATCTTGTAAACCTAATGTTTACTACTGGTGTGTTTCCTGATGACCTAAAAATCGCCAAGGTTTGTCCGATATACAAAAGTGGCAATCGAATGGAAATGTCAAACTACCGACCAATTCTGTGTTACCAGTATTTTCCAAATTATTTGAAGGAGTTATCAATTGCAGGCTCGAATGTTTTCACTAAACACAACCTGATATCTGCTTGCCAGTACGGTTTTCTGAAGAAAAAATCCGCAGAGCAGGCGCTACTCGTTATTAAAGACAAAATACTTGAAAATATAGAAACAAACACTACACTCTTGGTCTTTTTAGATTTTCGAAAGGCGTTTGACTGCGTACAGCACAATATCCTTTTAGAAAAGTTGAATTACTAGGTGTACGTGGTGTCACACATAACTTAGTGCAGGATTATTTACGTCATAGGATGCAGTACGTACGGGTATGGATGTTGCATCTAACCGACTAACTGTCACTTGTGGAGTCCCTCAGGGCTCTCTATTAGGACCTCTATTGTTTTAATATATTAATGATATTACTAAACTACCAGGCTCTCATGACATGATTATGTATGCGGATGATACGAACATATTTTTACAACCAAATCTCTTGTACAAGCGAAGCTACGGTAAACTGGTACTTAGGAAACTTGCAGTCATGGCTACAACGCAACATGTTTTCCTTAAATTTATCCAAAACTAGCTACATTATTTTTAGGCCAATTAATACTGCTGATTCATATAAGGCCAATATTCAATTTGGTCGGGTAAGAATACATGAGGTCGACTGCATTAAATTTCTTGGAGTCTGGTTCCACCAGAACCTTTCATGGAACACACATGTGTCAAAATTAGCATCTGATATAAGTAAAAGTGTTGGCTGTCTCTACAAAGTAGCTTGTCTGGTACCCGTGTGGTTGAGACTGCAGATGTATTATGCGCTTGTGTATTCTAAGTTAACCTATTGTATTCTCGTATGGGGAACAACTACGCCTACTAACTATCAAAAACTACTAGTACTCCAAAAGAGAGCCTTGCGGTGCATTCATGGGTACCGTGGCAGACCCAAAGACTTTTCCACGTTGCCATTGTTCCGTACTTACGATCTGCTTAAAGCGAACCAAGTCTACCTCTTTCGACTGTTGCAATATATTAAGAGCAATCAACTGCACACTCAAGACTTTACTCTGTCTAACGATGCATATCACTTTCGAAAACAAATCCACCGGGTCCCCAAAACGCGCACAAACTATGGCAAACAAAAATTAAATTATCAGGTCACTGTGGTTATTAATAAAATGTTGACGGATGTTGATTTGATGTTGCATTGAAATTATTCAAAAAACAAACAAAGAAATATTTACTCGAATCTGATTTGTGCTTTGTATAAGCTTGTATTAAGTTTATATTCTGTATATTTATAATGCTTTGTATTTTGTCTACGCTGCATGCTTGGCGCATTGTGTTACACTGGCAAATGCAGCTAACACTGCAATTATGTGTTTTCGTTTATTTATGTCAGACTGTACAAGGGAGCCGAGGCCTCTGTCAGGCACTCCAGCCTTTAGCCCCGGCTACCCCCTTTGTGTGAAAGGAAAATAAACTTCACTTCACTTCACTTCACTTCCCATTAAATATGGCGGTGGCTCAATCCACCTAGCCACGATGATGTGTGGCGCTTTATGGCGCAAGGGCCAATTGATGGCCAAAGAGCGCCATTTCAATGAGTAGAGAGATGTGGACAATGATATGTTGCGTGGCTGTATAGGGGCCTTAAAATTCGTCGCGATAATACGGGTAAAAACATAAGTATTAAGGACGTGAAAGTGACGTGATATGCATAGTAAAAAGGGTGACAAGGGTTTTGATAACAGAAACGTGTAAAAATATTTGGCACTAGCACAAGTGCCTCATCAGCGCCCTTGTGTCCAAGGGCTGTAAGGCAAGTGCTTTCTTGTATAGCCACCGCAGCAAAAACCTCTGCAGAGGTCGTGCTACGGGATGCCCGGGTAATATGATATGAAAACTATGAATTTCTTTTAAAAACGCTAACAATGATTTATGACTAACAAGCGGTTCCCTACCGACGAACATTGCAGGGTGTAAAGGTATACGTTGTCGGTAGGCTAATGGAAAGTGTTGTTTTCTTAGAGTGTCCAATTGTTTGCACTGAATTAAAATGGTGAGAACTGTTAGTGCATCACCGCATCTGTCACACAATGGCGGATCGCCAACGGACAAAAGATGAGTGTGTCGTGTATGTGTGTCCTATCCTGAGCCTTGTTAGTGTTACCTCTGTTAGACGCAATTTTGATACTGGTGGCCAATGGCCAAGGTGTGGCTTGATAACGTGTAGCTTGTTTTGTGTGTGTCCATCGCACTTGCTCTGCCAGTAGTCCCTGAGCTTTCGTTTGAGAGACGGCTTAAGATCAAGGGGCGAGATCGATTTGGGTGCGGTGGAGCTGATTTCGTGGACGGATGCAGCAAGCTGATCCGCCATCGCGTTGCCTTGGATGTCACGGTGCCCTGACACCCAGCACAATACAACATGTTGTTCGAGTGTGTATAGTGTGCATAAAATAGAGTAGAGTGAGATGAGGACAGGTTTTTTTTGTTCTTTAAGATTGTGCAGAGCCGTAACCACACTGAGGGAGTCCGTATAAATTACTGCTTTTTGTATTTGTGATTGCTTGATGTGTTTAGCTGCCACAAGTATCGCGTAAGCTTCCGCAGTGAAGATACTTGTGCCTGGATGTAGAGGGCCAGCATCCGAAAGAATGGGCCGACAGCAGCGTAGAAGACAGAGCAGTTAGACTTGGAGGCATCTGTAAAGAACTCAGGACGTGTGTATTTGTGTTGAAGTTCCAGGAAGTAGTTTTGGATATGGGCAATAGGTGCATGTTTAGTAACTTCTAGGAAAGACACATCGCAGTCTATAATCTGCCACTGCCACGGTGGCGGGTATACTGCAGGAGCCAGTAAACTGTGTTCAAGTGACACTCCAGTTTCCTCAGTTACGCCCTTCAGGCGAACTGAGAAGGGCTGCCTCATCGAAGGCCTGTTTTGGAACGGAATAGAGCTCGACAAATCATTAATTGTGGAGTAGGAAGGGTGCTTCTTGTCTGCTTTCACCTTAAGAAAATATATCAAGGACATGTGAGTTCTCTGTAGATGAAGCGACCATTCATTTGACTCAACGTAAAGACTTTCTT